GAAATGATAGAAGTGGAAAGAAAGGGGTGAGTGGGTAAGAGGAAGAAAAGAAGGATGGAAGGATGAAAAGGAAAAAAGGAAGAAGACTGGTGAATAGGTAGATGGAATGATGGATGGAGAAGAAAGGAAAGAGGAAAGAAAGGAGTGTGTGGGTAAGAGGAAGAAAAGAAGGAAGGGAGGAAGGAAACAAAAGGAAAAAAAGGAAGGAGTTTAGTGGATAGGTAGACGGAATGATGGAGATCATGGATGGATGACAGGGAAGAGGAAAGAAAGGAGTGTGTGGGTAAGAGGGAGGAAGGGAGGAAGGAAGGATGCTCAGATGGGAGAGAACCACTGTGGTTCCCTTTTAAATTCTCAGAGAAAATGGAGAAATTAGGAGCTCCAACACAAAACCCTCCAAGGAACGCCAGGATGGTGGCACCGAAGGGGTGCAAGTCACCTCGCTCCGAATGAAATATTGCCGTGGAACCGATTCTCAGGCTAAGTTCCTAAAGATAGTAAATTCCCAGCTTCAATTGTTTCCTCACAATGTTTTCTTATTTTTTTTATTTTTTTTGTCGAGAGGGATAAGGGGGGGAAAAAAACCCAATCCTTTTCCATTTAGACATGCGATAAACAACTTTTAAGATCTCGTTTATAATCTTTTTTGTCCTTCCATGCTTGGGGAGAACAGGGAAGAGGGAGAAACACACACACACACACACACAAAAATGATCTGGGTTTTTTTTGTTTTTTTTGTGGGTTGGTTGTCTCTCTTTTTTCAAATAACGCTGGAAACAGGATGTCTTTGCCAGATATGCATTAAAAGGAAATCAGAAAACAACAGGAACTGTTTCCCTGTGAAAAAGCTCCCACAGGGTTCCCATGCCAGGACCTGCCTCATTCATCCCGGCTTCGAAGCCGATATATTGTGCTGCAACACAATTATATGAATGGGAAGGTGTGCTTGTGAACACAACGTGCTTGTCCTTGAGGTAAACATGGCAGAAAACACAAGGCTTAGGCAGGCTAAGGGCTCCCTCTCATCAGGTTTGGTTCAACGTGGGCAGCCGCTAAAGAGCTAGCTGGTTAGTTCGTTACAGAATAGAGCTGGAAGGGACCTCGGAGGTCTTCTAGTCCAACCCCCTGCTCAAGCAGGAGACCCTATACAGGTAGTCCTCGACTTACGGCGGTTCGTTTCGTGGCCGTTTGGAGTTACAACGGCACTCGATGACTGAGGACCGTTTTTCGCAATTACAAATTGCAGCATATCCCCATGCTCAAAATTCAGGCGCTGGGCAACTGGCTCATACTTATGACCGTTGCAGTGTCCCATGGTCTTGTCTTAACGACTGCATTGAATTGCTTAACAACCGTGGTCAAAAAGTGGTAAAAACAGCCCCGCATTAACAACCTCCTTGCTTATAGCAAGGAAAAACCTGGACCCCATGACGATCGTGAGTTGAGTTCTATCTGCAGCCATTATCCTCTCATCATCAAATCGGCTCTTACATCATCACTGAGCACTCTGACTTACCCAAGAATAAAATAAGGAATGTGAGTTGTAAGTTTCTGTGATTTTTTTTCCTCTTTAGGAAAGATTCCTAGAGATAAATTCCTAAAGTATTCAGATTCCTAAACTATTTTAGGAATTTACATAAAATAGATTCCTAAATGCCTAAAGTATTCAGATTCTTCAACTATTTTAGGAATTTATATAAAATAGATTCCTAGAGATAAATTCCTAAAGTATTCAGATTCTTAAACTATTTTAGGAATTTACATAAAATTGATTCCTAAATGCCTAAAGTATTCGGATTCTTAAACTATTTTAGGAATTTATATAAAATAGATTCCTAAAAATAAATTCCTAAAGTATTTAGATGCTTAAACTATTTTAGGAATGTATATAAATAGATTCCTAGAGATAAATGCTCAAAGTAGTAATTAGTGCAGCTACTCCTCGACTTACAACAGTTCATTTAGTGACCATTCAAAGTTACAACGGCACTGAAAGAAATCACTTACGGCCATTTTTCACCCTTCTGACCATTGCAGCATCTCCATGGTCACATGATTTACATTCAAATACTTGACAAGGGGTCCATATTTACGACGGCCGCAGTGTCCTGGGGTCACGTGATCCCCTTTTGCGACCATCTAACGAGCAAAGTCAGTGGGGAAGCCAGATTCGCTTAATGACGGTGTTACTAATTTAGCAACTGCAGCAATTCACTTAAACAAACCTCACTTGGTATTTCTCATTTAGCAGCATATATTTTGGGCTCCATTGTGGTCGTAAGCCAAGGACTATCTCTAAGCCGATTCCAAATCCACCTAGCACATCTGGAGATGTCCACTTTTTGGGGACAGATTTAGGTCCCTACATCCCAGAGGTGGTATTCAGGAGGTTCTGACCAGTTCTGGACAACCAGTAGCAAAAATTTTGAGTAGTTTGGAGAATTGGCAAATCCCACCTCTGATTGGCCCCGCCCCCATCTAATCTCCGCCTCCCATTGAGTCCCAGGTGATTGGCTGGGTCCTTTTTGGTTGCCCTGCATAGGAGAATGGAGCTGGAAAGCAGGTTAGTGGAGTGGAGAGGGAATGGGGATTTTGCAATAGCCTTCCCCTGCCGTGCCCAACAAGCCCACCCAAGAAGCCACACCATGCCCACCAAGCCACGCCCACAGAACCGGTAGTAAATTTTTTTGAATCACGCCACTGCTCCATCCCCTTCGCTTCCAGCCATCAAGGGAGGGTCTTCATTGCCCAAAAGGGGCTTACTCCGAAATCTGTAGGGCTTCACTTACCAATAACGGATCCGTTTAAGAAAAGGGCGACGCCAATGAGGACCCCAATGCAAAGGGCGAGAATGAACGGCCGTCGGCGTCCCCAGCTGAGGGTGCAGCGGTCGCTGGCCGAACCAATTAAGGGGGTAAAAATCAGGCCCAGGATTGGACTAAGGAACCAGGTGAGGCTGTAGTACTGTTCAGGAAGACCTAAAAAGAGAAACCGGGAAACGTGGGTTAGTTCCGCAGGAAGGACTGGCGGGAGGAACCTGGGCTATTTCAATTGGAAGAGAAGGGAAAGAGAAGGAAATCGTGGCCGCGTACGGGAAGGAAAGGGAGTCAGGAACGCTTTTGGGGTGTGTTTGCGTGTGTAAGGCCATGATGTAGGACCAGGGGTGGGATTCCACCGGTTCGGCCGAACCCCTTGCTCCGAACATCAGCTGTCTCTGAACCGATTTGCCGCGACGGGCATGTAGGCCTGCCTGCTCGCCCTTCCTCTTTCCTGTCCTTTTACTTCCTTTGTTTACAGCATAGCTGATCCACGTGGCCAAGTGGTTTGCCGCGCCTCAGCTGTTTTCTTCACAGAGAACTGCTGTAGAAGGTAAGTATTAGAGCTGTTCGTAATGCGGAACGAAGCCCGCATTCGCGTCCAATCCCCAAACCGGTTGTTATACCGGTGGAATCCCAGCCTTGTGTAGGACATCAAAAACACGATTCCTGACCAGCAAACTCTGGCTATATACATTCCACACACACCCCCCCCCCCCGCGTTCCCTCAGTGTGTTTTGGAGCAATGGGTGTGCAGTTTGCAGAATTGGCAGCAGGAGGCAGCAAAACAAGAGTCAGGCCTGGTTAGCCTTTGGAACGGAGGCCACCAGGAGATTCCTTAGTTAAAAAAAAAATTGCTGGAAGAAACCACGGCAAATCTCCTTACTGGTGCCAAGAAAAAGAGCATAGTTACATTCTTGTAGGAATCAAGAACACGGCTAAGGGTTTTAGGATGGCTTTCTCTAAAGTTTCCTTCACATGTCGGATTGGGTGTCCTGTGGATGGGTCCAACTACCACAATGTCACTGTTGGCCTACGACAGTGATGGCAAACCTTTTTTGTTGTGGTATGCCGAAAGTGTGCATGTGCTGGCACCCACAATGCAATGCGCCCTCCCCTCCCGCGCATACGTGTGCAACACCTCCACCCCGCCCTCTTACCTGCACTGCACGTACACGCGACTCCCAGCTGAATTTTGGCCTGTTTGAGGCCCTCCCGGAGGCCTCTGTAGCCTCCGGAGCCTGAAAAACGGGCCTTCCGGAAATACTCATTTTCAGCCTCCAGAGGGCCCGAAAGTGCCCGTTTTCAGCCTCCAGAGGGCCTCTGGAGCCCAGGGGCGGCTGTTTTTTCCCTCTCGGAGGCTCGAGGAAAACCTCTACAGCCTCGGGAGTATGAAAACAGGCCAGTTTCGGCATTTCTGGTATTTCTGGAAGACCCATTTTTCAGCCTTCTGAAGCTTGCAGAGGCTTCCCTCGAGCCTCCGAGAGGGCAAAAACAGCCTCAAATGGGCCCAAAATCAGCTGGGACATGCGCGCATGCGCAGTACAGGTAAGTTTGGCTGGAGCTCACAGGCCCCGCACAAATGGCTCTGCGTGCCACCTGTGGCATGCATGCCATAGGTTTGCCATCACGGGCCCAGGAGAATTCTGGAAAATGCCCACCCGAACACATCTGGGCTCTTCTGCTTATTCCTCTGCCAATAAAACGAATGTTGCAAAACATCCACGACGAGAGAGTTCCCACTAACGCTTTAAGCTTTTCAGGCAAACAGCAAAGAAAATCAACTGCGAAATATCTCTGTGTTAGGACTGCTATTTGCTGGTTGCAAAGTCAACCCTTTTCTCCTTTGGAATTGCTAGAGGAAAAGCAGGGACAACGAAAACACTAAATGTATACTTGCAGATATACATTTTAGACAGCAATGCTAACATTTAGCCAGTAGATGGTGCCAGCTGCAGAGTAACCATTCTAAAGCTTTTTAAAAGTCACAACACAGTCAACAACAGACCACTGCAGTTGAGAAGTCCCAATGAGCCATCAAACATCCTGAGTCGGTTTTGAAAATCCATATAATGGAATGGAAAGGAATAGAACAGAATGCAGAACAGAATGCAGAATACATAGAACAGAATGCAGAACAGAATATAGAATAGAGTAGAATGCAAATAGAATGGAATGCAAACAGAATGCAGCATAGAATATAGAACAGAATGCAGAATAGAATAGAATGCAAACAGAATGCAGCATAGAATACAGAACAGAATGCAGCATAGAATAGAATGCAAACAGAATGCAGAATAGAATATAGAATAAAACAGAATGCAGAATAGAATAGAATGCAAACCGAATGCAGCATAGAATATAGAACAGAATAGAATGCAAACAGAATGCAGAATATAGAATAGAACAGAATGCAGAATACATAGAATAGAATGCAGAACACAATGCAGTATTAGTTGCAGTATTCCAGGTGTGGCTTTACTTGAGGATTACCTATGTTATACTTGGCAGAAGATGGAGCAACCCTTACCCATTTGGGAAAACCAAAATTCCTCCAGGGTTTGCAGCCAAAGAACTCCATGCCTGATGAACTGGATTTCCCAAATCTAACTACAATATTTCAGTGGACAGATTTCTGGGCTTTCGTAGTGTGCAGACAATAATTTGGTCCTCAACACCAATAAGACCAAGGAGCTTATAGTGGACCATAGAAGGAACAGATCAGACATCTAGCCCTTGCTTATCAGTGGAGACCGAGGGGAGCAAGTGGCCAGTTTTAAGTTTCTGGGTGTTACCATAAAAGAGGACCTGACCTGGGATGCTCCCATTGCAGCCCTGGTCAAAAGGACCCAGCAGAGATTATACTACCTGAGGCTTCTCAGAAAACAACTGAATGAAGAACTGCTGGTGACTTTCTACCGCTGCACCATAGAGAGTATCTTAACTTACTCCACCTGTGCCTGGTTTGCCAGTTGCACAGTGGCAGATAGGACAGCACTCCAGAGGGTTAACGTCATTGCCCAGAGGATCATTGGTTGCCCTCTCCCCTCTTTGGAAGAGCTTTATAGCTCCCGCTGCCTTAAGAAAGTTCAAAACATTCTCAAAGATCCATCTCATCCTGGGCACCCTTTTTTTGAACTATTACCATCCGGCAGACGGTACAGGATAATTAAAAACAAGGACAAATAGGCGGAAAAAACAGCTTCTATCCCAGGGCAGTAACTCTATTGAATTATACTGTATCGTGCAATATTAATGCAATATCAGGGGTTTTCAATTCAATTGTATAGAATGCAAAGAATGTGTGTTTGTGTTTTATTTTTATAGTCATAATGTACACTGAAAAGGGCATTTAATTTCATTGTATGAGGTGCAATGACAATAAAGTAAAGTAATAATAACGGACTTCAAAGTCATCAGCCCAAGAATGTTCTGTCTTTCCTCTTGGCCCCTAGAAGGCCCTGCTGGGTTTATGGACTGGAAAATGGGAATTGCAGCCTGATATAGTGTGATTATGTGGAACAGGTATTCCTTGACTTACAACTATTTCGTTTAGTGACCAGGTCAAAGTTACCATTGTGGCTTAGGACTGTTTTTTACACTTCTGACTGCTGCAGCATCCTCATAGTCACGTGATCAAAGTTTGGCCACTTGGATAATACGCTGGCTCGTATATTTATGACGGCTAAAGGGTCCCGGGGTTACGTCATCCACTTTCATGACCCTTTCGGACAAGCCAAGTCCATGGGGAAGCCAGATTCGCTTAACAACCAGGTGACTTACTTAACAAATGTAGTGGTTCACTTAACAACTGTGGCAAGAAAGATTGTAAAAATGGGCCAAAACTCGTTTCTTAACAACTGTCTCGCTTACCCGTGGAAATTTTGGCTCAATTGTGGTCGTAAGTCGAGGACTACCTGCATTTGAGGGAAAACAGCTACCCACACATCTGTTTCATGAGCAAATGAAGTGCCTCCATCTTTAAAATCCAACTATCAACACTATCACCACTGCTATTGTATTGTAATTGAATTTGAATTCTTTATTGTCATTGTATGTATATACACAGTATACATGCAACAAAATTCACACAACATCCAGAGACCAGACCCAACACACACACACATGACAATCCCCAAACACCTCCCCACCTACCAAAATTCCCTGCCCCCTAAAAACACACAAACATCCACACAACAGATTAAGTAGTCCTGTCCAACAGCTCACTGATGGTGGTATTTAAGTTCATTGTTGAGTGCAATTATAGCTCTGGGATAAAAACTGTTCAGAAAAACGTGTGGTCCAAGTTTTAATTGTTCTGTATCTTCTGCCAGAAGGCAACAATTCACAAAAGATTGTGAGCAGGATGGGAAGAGTCTCTGAGAATGTGGTAATTGTAATTGTAATTTTTAAGCAAATTTATATGGCCACCCAATTCACTCCTGGTGACTTCAGGCAGCTTACAAAAGTAAAACCCCAAATAAAAAACTCAACACACACAAACACACACACTGATAACAACAACAGGACTCCCAAGTTCTATTCTATTCTATTCTATTCTATTCTATTCTATTCTATTCTATTCTATTCTATTCTATTCTATTCTATTCTATTCTACTCTACTCTACTCTACTCTACTCTACTCTACTAAGTTGAGTCAAGCTGATATCCCTTTAAAGCTTTAGAAGTTAAATGCTGTTCTCGGTCTAGTGCTATTGCCTTATCTGACGCAGAAAATCACATGGCGAGGGTCAAGTTATGCAAACTAAAAAGAACTTCTGAATTCCAGACTAGATTTTAAAAGAATGGGATTTCATGCCCCATTACCTTGGAGGAGGTGTGCTCAATCGGCTTGGAACTAGCCAAGCACAAAATCAAAACCCATTTGAAATGTTCTTTCGGGTCACAATAGGAATATAGTTTTGCCTGGAGAGCCAGAACGGCCATCAACGAAGCAACAGAAACCATACCTGCCATTTATGAATTTTAAAACCTTGGTCGAGTTTGTGTTTTGCTTGCTCAAGAGATACTTTTACACCACCTCAGAGGCTGATATCCAGGTTTTGCACGTTCTGTGGGTAACTCAGATACTCAGTAAATTAGAATTAGAGTAACACAGCTGGAAGGGACCTTGGAGGTCTTCTAGTCCAACCCCCTGCTTG